GTCAAAGACCAAGGAAAAGAAAAGAAAAGAAAATTTGTTTTTAACTAAAATTTTATATAATGTGGCTTTTATGAACAGGTTTCTTAAACTCTCTGAAAGTATCCCCTCATTACAAGCAGCATTTATATGTCAATGATAACAACTTGTTTTGAAGACTAATCTTATTTTTGTTTGCTTATTGTAATGTTTTTATTTTCCTATTTTCTCACACCAAAATTAGGAGAAAGAAGAGGCTGGATTTCTATTTCAAAAAGAGGAATGAATATTAAGTTACAGTATTAGCAAGGAGATACAGTGATTTATTTTAATACAGTTTTTTTGAGAAATGAAAAATTCCTTTGCTTTAGATTAATAAGCCATTTTGTTAGACATTATTCTCCACTTAATGTTTTTCTACTTACACTGAAAAATATGCTGGGTTGATTTAGATTGTAACTTGTTGAAATTTCATCTGGATTTTGATGATCCTATTTATATAATCTTCATGCTTAGAAAGTGGAAATATGAAATCAACAAAAATTACAGGTGTACTTTTGGGATTAATATGCATTTTGGGTAAGGTAAAATAATCTTAAAGAAATAAATTTAGTGAACACATTTTATGTTTTTATATTGGTATTAGCATCTCAAATTGTTTTCATGAAAATTCTCTCATGAAAATAACCTTGTTTTTTATTAGCCTGTTTGCTATTTTCAATCACGCTATGAAGGAATGATTAAATCAAATATAAAGTTTAGAACAATTTAACAGGCTTAATAGTGTTACAGATAAGATAGAAATGTTTCTGGTATTATCTTGAATAGTCAGTAGGAAATCGAGTTGTTCTCTTTTAAAGGACTGTGCTGTTTTCATCTCATTATGTGGCTCTAAAAAAATTTAAATTATATATTTCACATGCCAACTTACAGAACCATTGTTTTGACAAAAAACATCTTTCAACATTGTTAGTTGTACTACTTAAAATTGACTTTTTATCTGCAAATAATTTTGTCATTCTCTCTGGATTATTTGACCTGACCAGGTCTAAGACAGTACATCTAAGCCTACAAAACATGAGATTACACTAAAAAAAAGTAATACTTTCCTCAGCTTTGAGAGCAGATACTTGAAAGTAGCATCTTCTGCTAAGAGATTTTCAGTAAGTCATAGCTTCTCATTTGTATTCTTAGTTGTGGATATGAAGTTTATATATTTGTGTTTTAGAAAAGGTGTGCTTCTAATTTAAAATCATTATTTCATGTATAAGAATATACACATGATGTTTTTTTCCCAATTAAACTTTTCAAAATAGACTTAAAAGTACTCATAAATTTATGTTGATTATAGGGTTTAGTAATATTAGTCTCTTTTATTTAAGAATAATTGTTTCTATTGTCACTAGGGCATAAAAATAGTTTTTCTTTTAATTAATTAAGCTCTTAATCTAATATAGCCTTAATGAATTCACTCATAGGAATTACTTGATTGAAGCAATAATGAAAGGCTGTCTGGCTGATATCCATCAGCCTCTGTCTTGAAAATAAGTAAATTTTAAAGTGAAAACATATAAATTAGAACTATATCTGTTTTATGTATCTAGGGTTTATATAATTTAATTTTATAATTCAATTTTGTTCAATTGTGCCATGCATATGTTTTCTGAATCATGAAAACTCCACAATCACTGCTGAATGTAAAACACAAAGGAATACTAAGAGTATGATACTTGTTTTGATTATGATGCATAAGTAAAAATCCAAAACTAATCATAACTAAAATTGTTTCTGTGACATTTTCTTCTTTTCTCATCTATTTTTTTCTTTTCTTCTTTATCCTCTTTCATCTTCCTTTTCTTCTTTTTAAACAAATAACAATATTTTGAATATAGACTAATTGGGTTTAGAAGTAGAGAATAAGAACTGGTCATAAAGAAGAATATAATTCAATTTATAAACACAAGTTATCTCAAGTTGAAATCAATATAAAAGAACTTCTCAACTTCATCTAGTTAACTCCTGGGATTAATTCAGGGTCTCAATTTCCTTTGTGGAACATACTAATTATTTTCCAGGGTAGTTCATCTCTCCAACTTTGTATATTGTGTCAAGAGTAACATGCATTTGTCACCTCAGGTGTCACTGCCATTTTTCTTATATTTTCATTTCATAATTTATTTAAATATTGTACAATTTAATGCAAAATGATTGGTGGGAAAGTTTTTTTTTTTTTTTTTGACAGGGGTGTCAAAACCAAGGGAACTACTTTGGAATTGAATAAAAGCAAGTTGACAAAAGTATATGAAATAATTTATAAAAACTATAAAATTGAGCAAGTCTTTTGTATTCAGATTGCTTTACAAATAGCTTTGACTTTTTTTTTTTTCATTAAAAAACTTAGAACCTCTAGATAGGGAAGAGAGGTGGGAGGGAAAGGGAGGGAGAATGGGAATTCCATAGAAGAGGGAAAGAGACCCCCTTCGATATACAGAATACATGTATGACGATGTGAGGGGAAAAAAAAGTGGGTCACATTAGATTGGGTAGAGAGAAGTGATGGGACGGGAGGGGAGAGGAAGGGGGGAATGGAAGGATAGCCGAATAAAATAGACATTATTATTGCTGTGGGTATATATGTGACTGCATGACCAATGTAATTCTGCAACCTGTACACTCAGAAAAATGAGAAATTATATCCCATCGGATTCAAATGTATGATATGTCAAGATCATTGTACTGTCATGTGTATCTAATTAAAATAATAAAAAAGAAAGAAAGAAAGAAAACAAAACTTGAAAAAAAATTAGAAATCAAAAGCTGTGCCTGAGATTTAAGAGGGAAAAAATAGTAACAAATCCCTAATAGTGGATTCTTACTCAAAGAAAAAGATCTTGATTCTATAACAAAACAATAGTATTCCTATCTACTTAAGTCTTATATAATAAACCATCAAATATACCTATGACCTTTATATGATTCTCTTTTAATTATTTTGTTTACTTAATTAGTTCAGTAAATTATTCCTTCTAGAATTTAAGAAAAGAGGGTTTTCATTGTGCTTTGTAATGTCTGAGAAAAAAGTTAAGGATGATTTTTCTTTTGTTAGACTAACTGAATTCTATGAGTGTTTTGACATCTGAGTATCATTAGGAAGACACACTGCCCACTTGAGGAGATATGGCTACCATTTTGGGTCTATGATAGCTTCCAGAAAGTTTCAAGTGTTTACTTTGTGAAATGAGGGAAATAATTTACAATAACATGGATGGGAAACAGGTTTCATCTTGAAATAAAACTCTGATTAAATGCCAGTGGATACTTGAAAATCTGTTCTGAGATGACTTGATAGCCCTTCACAATAGAACTAGATGCTTTGGTCTGGTAGTGATGTCTGCCATGGGAACAACGTGGAGTAGAATGATAAAACTGTGACAAAATTATTCTACTGAGCTATAACTACTTTTTTTTAGTGTTTTCAGTTTTAAAATAAAAGTTTTTAAAGGTTTTTTTTTTCTTTTTTACCTCCTGTTGCAACACTCCCACTGGTGATGTCCTTTAGTATTGGTTAGTAACCACATAGATGAGAAAGATTGGGATCAATGCATGATTTATCCTTTTCATCCTCACAAGAAACACATCTTTGTTACTTTACCACACAATGAGAAATATTTGTACAAATAAAAACAAATATTTTTTTTTGCTGTAACTTCTCCAAAAACTCAATATGTTTTGTCTTCATTAGAGAATACTAATCTAAAATTTGTTCAACAATATTATTTTATTATTATATAGTTAAGATGAGTAAAAGTATACAGAACATGAGAGCAAAAGGACTGTTCCAATGATCACTGTTTGATTTAGTAAATTTGGCTGTTAATATAACTATGGTTTTCCTCAAGGTCCTTGACATGGGACATGATTTTGAATTTATATTAGGACAGCTTTTCAGGAAGAAAACTACAATAATATCTAAGACAGTATATTCACAAGTTTCATGATTATAAGACATTGATTAAGAAGAATTACTTTGTTTTAATCTTCACAAATGTAGAAAAATGAATTCTCGAATTTATAATGTAAATGGTACTACAATTCTTTCTTTGAAGATTGTGTCAATGCATGTATTTTCATGTCAATAAAATATGCTCATTGAATCCCATCATCTAAATATTCCCCAAACTCTAAATGCCATAAATATACATAAAAGATATACATGTTATATTGATGAAGATTGATGATGGATATGTGTAAATCCACATGTTAGGGACAATTTTACTTCAGTTAATGCCTAGTAATGTAACAAGCATCAGAAATGAAAAAAAAATGAAATCTTCCTTATTTAACAATGATTAATTGAATAACTAAAATACACTGCTCTAACTATGGGAGATTTACAAATGTGAAAGCACAAAACCCCAGAAACTGACAGAGACTCTTATATTAGGAATCTTCCCAGGAAGCTACTGGAATTTACCATAAATCCCTGTCATTACAAATTCATTTTCCTCCAAAATGTATTTCCTCCAAAATACATGTAAGAAAGCTTGAAACTGTTCAGTCTTCATTTATAGTCTTGACACATCAATTTTATAACAGTAAATTTTGCCTTTCAGAATATGTGGTATATGGATGGTTCCAAGCCCCTGAAATGGGCTACTTCACATTATAATTGTTGCTTAAAACCTGAGAGATTCCCTTTTCTGTTTAATCCTTTTCTTAATAACCTAATTTATTGTCTACTGGAAATCAATTTAGAAAATCATGTTAGTTCACTAAGCACTTCAGATAAGGCAATTCCATGAAGCATTCCAAGATTATCACAAGGAGTTGCTCTCATATGCCATAAAACAAGAAAGAGGTAAAATATGACCTGTTGCAGGATGGTTACAGTTTTACAGCCCCTCCCACTGCAGCTCTTAAGTCACTCAGTTACACTTAGCTCTGGATTATCACTATCAGATTGAAAGCAAAACACTAAGTTTTTCTGGGCTTGAGGTGCCACTTGTATGTGTGTCTCTCAGTCGATGATGAGGATATCAGAACCGATTCTGGACATGGACGTGGGAAATTACAGTGAAGTTTTGGACCCAAATTATACCACTTTGGAATTTGAAACGATGCAGATTTTATATAATTCAAATGGTGAGTGCTCATCTGCTTATAGATCTATGAAAAAGTAAACATAGCAGGGAGAAGTGAAGTTGAGCTTCCCAAAGGTGGTGGCTCAGGGTTTTATTGCTGGAGAAATCAAGGCTTGTTTTTTAAGGATACAAATCTGAGTTTTTGCACTTCATCACAAAATTTAAATTAATAATGCTATGACTATTTTATGTTACAAGTAGAAAAACCTAGTTTTGTGTAATAAAGTAACCTCAGAATTCTGTCATGGGCTAGTTAGAGAGGTAAAAGGAGTAGTTTCAGCAGATACTTTATTTGCTGTAAATCACAGTAATAACATTGGCAGATTGGCTGTGAAAAAATATTTTCTATGCAATATTTAGAATGACTTATGGAACAGAGTTTCTATAGAACACTGAATACTTTTACTGATTGCCTCCTCCTTTCATTATTCCAGTTTTTGGTTGCTGCTGAGGAGAAACTACATTTAAAATCACTGTCAAGTTTTTGTGTTGAACAGAAATATGAAAAGAAATAGAGGTTTATATTATAACCTCACTTGACAGGCTAATGTTTAGCCACACAAAGCTCTTGGTATTTATCTACTGTAACATTTTAACTTTAAATAAGACATGAATTGTCTTTGTATAATACAGTTTGCTATTGTTTTTGAATTTAGATTTTTCCCCAAGTATAAGTCTCGTCCAAGACAGACTGTAATTGTTAGAACTTTGAATACCTTATAATTGTGTATACTTTGGAATTTTGTGTGTGTATGTGTGTGTGTGTGTGCCCGTGTGTGTGTTTAGGTCAGGATTGAGAAATCATTTATGGTAAAAGTATCCTAATATTCTACTTTAATGTACAATTTTTATGACACATGTTCTGGTTATATTTCCAGTAAGCAAATTCCAGTTATATTTCCTTTTTTTTTTTTAATTTTTTATTGTGGGTTGTTCAAAACATTACAAATTTCTTGACATATCATATTCCACACTTTGATTCAAGTGGGTTATGAACTCCCACCTTCACCCCATACACAGATTGCAGAATCACATCAGTTACACATCCATTGATTTACAAATTGCCATACTAGTGTCTGTTGTGCTCCACTGCCTTTCTATATTTCCTTTTTAACAGGGAGATTTAAAAAAAAATTGTCAAAAGATGAATTCTGAAATTTAAGCACAAATAGAGTTAAAATGAACCTATTGTTCAACTCTTAGGAAGTAATTATTTTGAGTAGACATGTTTCATAGAATTTCTCAATAGAATCATGACTTTAAAAAATGACTCTAGCTTCCTAAATGATACCAACAGATTTACTATAAGAATTTACCAATGTATGCTATAATAACTAAATTGTATGGCTATTTTTCAATTATTATTTAACTTGTTTATAATAACTGTCAATTATATGTAACTATTGCTAAACTTAGAATTAAATTTGTTTTTAATATTCCCACCTAATATTTAGAATATAATCAATTTTAAACACTTTGACTTCCATATGGCTAATGTTTTTGTTAATGTTACTAAAAGAAAAATTCTTTGCATTTTAGTTCTATAGTGTAGGATGATGAACCTTAAATATATTCCCATTAAAGATTTTTATGACTTTATGAAATTATATACAGCAGTTTACTCAGAAGCATTAGTAAGTAGAATAAATGTGATGTCATGGGGTGTAACTGGGATATGACAACCTTTAATTTTACTTTGTTTATATTAAATAGAGATATAATGAGTTCTTTATTATTATATAATTTATGGTAAATTAAAATTTTAATATACTACATGTGGAGGGTACTGGGGACTGAATCCAGAAGAATTTTACTTCTGAGCTATATCTTAGCCTATTTTTTGGTGGGGGATGGGTACCTCAGGGGCACTCAACCACTGAGCCACATCCCTAGCCTTTTTTTAATATTTTATTTAGAGACAGGGTTCCACTGAGTATCTTAGTACCTTGCTTTTGCTGAGGCTGGCTTTGAACTCATGATCCTCCTGAGCCACTTAGCCTCTTCTATTTTGGGGGAGGGGTGAAGAGGGGGCGCAGTCTGCCAAGTATTGAACCAGGGGCACTTAACCACTGAACCACATCATATGACCTATTTAAAAATATTGTTTATCTTGAGACAGGGACTCATAAAGTTGCTTAGGGCCTCGCTAAGTTGCTGAGGTAAGATTTGAACTTGAGATCCTCCTGCCATAGCCTCCAGATTTTGTTTTGTTTTGTTTTCTGAGATAGAGTCTTGCTAAGTTGCACAAGTGGTCCCTGAAATGATGATACTCCTCCTTTTTCAGTCTTCTGAGTAGCTGGAATTAGAGGCATGTGCTACTGTACTTGGAATATATTACCTTATAGTTAATATATTTTGAGTACATACAGATTTTAAAGATGCATTCAACAATATCAACTCATTTAAGATATATTTATTTACTACATATTTATTTTTAATGCCTGTTCTTACAAAACTATACATTAGGGGGCTGGGGGTATAGCTCAGTTGGTAGAGTGCTTGCCTAGCATGCACAAGGCCCAGGGTTCAATTCCCAACATCACGCCCCCCCAAAAAACAAACAAAAAAAAACTATACATTAGATGCCCTGTAGATGCCGGCACAATTCTAAGAGCTGGAAAACAGATAAATTCTCTGACATCTTGAAGTTTATATTCTGTGCATAAAGATGGGTTACAAATGAGCAAACCAATACATAATATAATTTTAGGCAAGGTCATTTCTATAAAAATAATAATAATAGCCAAGCTCCAAGTTCTACTTGAAGGGTAGATGAGAGGTAACTTTTTGAAGTCTTACAGAAGAAATTTCCTTCCAGACAAGTGTAAAAGTTCCAAGGTCAAATTAGGGCTTCAAGAAACAAACAAAAAATGGTAACACTGCTGAAGAATAGTAAACAGGATGAAAAGTGATACCAAACACTGGGTTCAGAGAGGTGGGGTTGGCAAAGGCAGGGAATTTTATCATGCAGTGTTTTACAGGCCCTGGTTAAGGGCATAGGTTTTATTCAATCTAGTAACACATCATGGTGGGTTAGACACAGAAGAGTGACATGGTATGGATTTCTTATGTCAAGATCACTTGGGTGGCTTTGGGGTAATAAACAGAGGGGGGAGCAAGCTTAAAAGCAGGGAAGTTAGAATACAAACAACAGTAAGTGTTGGTGAGGATGTGGGGGAAAAAGACACACTCATACATTGCTGGTGGGACTGCAAAATGGTGCAGTCAATATGGAAAGCAGTGTGGAGATTCTTTGGAAAACTGGGAATGGAATCACCTTTTGACCCAGCTATACAACTCCTCGGTCTATACCCAAAGGACTTAAAAACAGAATGCTACAAGGATACAGCCACACCAATGTTTATTGCAGCATAATTCACAGTAGCTAAACTGTAGAACACTCTAGATGCCCTTCAGTAGATGAATGGATAAAGAAAATGTGGTATATGTACACAATGGAATATTATTCAGCAATAAAAGAGAATAAAATCATGGCATTTGCAGGTAAATGGATGCAAAGTGTAGTTAGCCAATCCCCCAAACCAAAGACCTAATGTTTTCTCATATAAAAGGAGGCTGATTTGTAGTAGGGTTGGGTGGGGGACTATGGAAAGATTAGACAAACTCTAGATAGGGCAAAGGGGAAGGAGGGGAAGGGAGGGGCCAAGAGGGTCAAAAAGATGGTGAAATGAGATGGACATCATTACCCGAAGTACATGCATGAAGACAAGAATGGTCTGAATATACTTTGTATACAACCAGAGATATAAAAAATTGTGCTCTATATGTGTAATATGAATTTTAATGCATTCTGCTGTCATATATAACAAATTATAATAAAAAAAAATTTAAAAGAAGCAGGGAAGTTAGATGGGAAGGTGTTGAAGAAGTCCATGGGAAGGATGATGATCAATTGGATAAAGGTGGAAATCTTTGGAATAAATGTGTATTTCAAATATTAGTTTACTACTGAGTTGGAAAGGAAGGATGACCAAAAGGATGCAAGGATGACTCTCAAGTTTTTGGCTCCAGGGACTAGATGGAACCATTGGCTTTTATAAGGAAGATTGAAGAAAGAACAAGTTCTACAGATGGAAAAAAAAATCAAAGTTCTAGTTTTTGATACATTAATTTATCATTTTTATTTGTCTTCAAAGTGAAGATATTAAATATGTACTTGAGCATTTCAGGCTGATTTCCACAGGAGAGATCAGATTAGAAACAATATTTAAAGATTTTTTTCCCATTATACAGATGATTTTTAATGTCATGCAACTGTATAATTTTCCTTTGGGAAAAAGTATAACAGGGGTACTGAACCCCATGGATTCCCAAAATCTAATGGTCAGAAATATGAGATGGGAGTTATGAAAGGACTAGCCAGAGTTTAAAAGAAAAGCCCTGATTTAAAGATTCCAGCAAGTCAAGAAATGGACTCTTTGGGGCCCATGTATAATTTTTAGAGCAATTTAGTCAAGAATATTCAGTACTAACTCTAAATCTATTCTTCTTCTTCTTTTTTTTTTTTTAACAGATAGTTCTGCCCCAGAGACAACAACTATGAATACCACAGACAACGGTGTAGGTGTCAATTGTCTGTGTGCCATATGTGGGGACAGAGCAACAGGAAAACACTATGGGGCATCGAGCTGTGACGGGTGCAAGGGCTTCTTTCGACGCAGCATACGCAAGAGTCATGTTTATTCCTGCAGGTACTTCACATGCTCCATTAAGGAAAATGATCTTTTGAGATGTTTGAAATAGCACGCAAAAAATAAGGGAAGAGCCAGGTGCAGTGCTGCACTCCTGTAATCCCACTGGCTCTGGAGACTGAAGCAGGAGGATTGTGAGTTCAAAGCCAGCCTCAGCAATTTATCAAGGCCCTAAGTAACTCAGGGAGAACCTATCTCCAAATAAAAAATAAAAAGATCTGGGGGTAGAGTTCAGTGGTAAAGTTTCCCTGGGTTGAATCCCTAGTACTTCCCACCCTGAAAAATTAAAAGCAAAAAGAAAAAAATATTTAGAGCTTCCTTATATCTGTAACTCTAGGTAGAAAAATTCTACCTAGCAATGAAAGAGTGTGTGGGGCGTATGTATACAGGTGGTTCTTCTTTTATGAAACAGATTAGACTTAAAAAGATATAAATAAAAAAAAATCCACCTACCACCCATTTTAGACCAAAATAGCTGAATCTTCCAATGGCTACCTCCCACTTTCTCTTTCTACCTAGACTCCCTGAGGTACCTACCATCTGGAATTTGATGTTGATCTTTTCCGTGTGTCTCTTTATTGTTTTACCATGCTTGTATACCACTATACGTTTTTAAAATCTGCACTTAAATGGTTTCTCAATGTGTTTATTTCTCCCTATGTTGATTTTCTTTTTAGTGTTGCACTACATCTTGGAGATTTTAAAACAAAATTTTAAAAGTACAGATGATTTTGGACATTGTTGGTTTCCATGAATGAAATTTAATTTTCAGTTCTAAAATTTAAACTTGATTCTCATGCTACCTTTTTTGTGACCTTGAATTTAAATGTCTTGTCTAAAGCTTACTTACCTACATTTTATGTGACACACATAGTTTTTTAAAATGTTTTCTTGTCAATATCACAACACAGGTTAGGTTTAATTATTGCATCCTTATCGATATGACATTTCTTTTTTTGTGCATGTGGGGGGAGTACTGGGGAGGGAACTCAGGGGCTCCTGACCACTGAGCCACATCCCCAGCTCTATTTTGTGTTTTCTTTAGAGACAGGGTCTCACTAAGTTGCTTAGCACCTCTCTTGTGCTGAGGCTGACTGTCTCAGCCTCTGAGCAATTGGGATTATAATCATGTGCCACTGAGCCTGGCAATATGACAGTTCTTGAAGGCATATTATATCTAAGTTGAATATGGGCTACTGACCAAAATAAATAACAGAAGAAAATCTGTATTTACTCTGTCAATGAAAAGGATGTTAGCATTTTTACATTGTTTTAAGAAAATGGTCATTTAAGGAGGAGTTAGCCTTCTTCCAAGATGTCATTTGATTTTCCAGGCTGTAATAAAAGTTAATATGAATAGCCAAATCCTGAAATATCTTCCTAGGATTCCCTACAAATTTTTTCATGAAAGTTTGATCTAGGCTAACAGCTAAAAGATGTATCAATTATTCACTTTAAAAGCTTGGTAAATAAACAAAAATATGTATTGACATGGGTTTTGCTTATGTAGACATAAAAATTCTGGAAGTAAAAGGTAAATAAATTTCCTCCATCGTAAACATTTTCTGTAGGATTACCTTAATTATTGAGCACTCCTGAGTAATTAACACCTAAAATAAAAGCAAAATAACACATAGACATTTTTTTTGGAATTAGGTGGTCTGTTTAAAGTGTAATATACATATATGAAAAATGTCAATTCAGACACCTAAATCCAAGAACAGCTTTTAAGAAGCTGAGAGGACCAAGACAAGAGCTTTGGGATTTTCACGGGGTCTGTATTGGGATGGTAGGAAGAACTGCTCCCAAAGCAGCTTTTAGAAGTTTCGAAACTATCCTAATCACAAGTATGGTTTAACTTCTTGCTCCTAAGTATAATGCATGCTGCTGCCAACATAGCCCCACTTACATGTTTTGATATTAAGCAAATGCTATGATTTTCCACGTAGAAAATAGTGATGTTGGTGCTCCTATATTTAGGAGAAAAAAGTGTTTTTGACCTAAGATTGATGCAGTTCCTGAAATTCAGAAATTCTACCTCCAGATTCTCTGTTTCATCACACAGAAAACCAGACTGTCCTTCCTAAAGCACTTTAAACTCCTATTTCAGTACTTCTCACATGATGCTTTTGATAATGGCTACTTATAAATTTCTGTATGATCTACTGGATTATAATTTTCTTGAATGGAAGAGAAAGGTAGTATTCATCTGTTTAAACTCTATACGACGATTTAATATACCATAGGTATTTAATATATGTTTATTCAATTTTGCTACTAATTTAGTGTTGATTGGCTATGTTTTCCTTCTTGTGATTTTTAGCCACCAGATCCTCTCTCCTGAGTCTTCTCAACTCTCATTTAAAATGAACAAGGTTTTTTCTCACTCTGAATACACATCTCTCCTTTAGCTCATTTGAAGTAGTCTTTAATCTCATTCTATTTTAAGTGATCACCCATGTATTTTAAAGAAAAATTTTATATGTAATAAAATGCATTCCTTTATTCTCATCGTTTAATAATCAACTTCAAATGATCAGTATATATCAGTGCCTATGGATAAGAGTTTTGAAGAAATGTTATTATTTATTATATGATTAACATGTGCCCCAAACTCTGAAGTACATTCACACAACATTCTCTTAAGGCAAGACCTTTGCCCCATTTTACAATTGTAGATTGATGTCATTTAATATCCTCAAGTTCTACCAAGAGTGAATGGCAAACTAGTTTTAGAACAGACTATATATATTTTTAAGTACATAATACAGGTTTTTTTTCAGCATACTCAGATTTGTGTGACCGTCAAAACAATCAATTTAGAACATTTTCATTCTCTACAAAGAAACCTTTAGAAATCACTTCCCAATTGCCCCAGCTCCTTTTTCAACAATATGAGGTAATTACTAATCTTACTTAAAAGATTAATAATCCTCTTCTGAACTTTTCTCTTTTCCTTTCTTTTGGTACCAGTGGCGGAACTCAGGGGTGCTTGACCACTGAACTACATTACCCAGGCCTTGTTCTTTTTTTATTTAGATATAGGGTGTCACTAAGTTGCTTAGGGACTTGCTAGGTTGCTGAGGCTGGTCTTGAACTTGTGATCCTCCTGCCTCAGTCTCCTGAGTCTCTGGGATTACAGTATTGTGCTACCACGCCCAGGTATGCCATTTCATGTATATGAAATCATAAAATATGTGTCCTCTTGAATCTGACTTCCTTTATTTAAATTAGAAATGTTGTAACAAGTATCAGAACTTATTTCTATTTATTGACAAATGGTAAGATTCAATTGTATGGATATACCACGTTTTATTCATCTGCACATCTCTCCACTTTTGGCTCTTATGAATAATTCTGATACGGACAGAAATTTTGTTATGTTCCTAGTGTGGAATCACTGTCTCAGATGTCAGCTCTATGTTTAATTTGTGAGAAAATGCCAAGCTTTCTTTCTAAGCAGCAGCAGCAGCATTTAATATTGTAAGTAGGAATATGTGACGATTCTAAGTTTTCCACATCCCACCAACACTGGATTGCCTGTTTTGTTTTGTTTTTTTTTTTTCCTAATGTGTGTGAAGTGATACATCCTTATGCAGAAACTACATTTTCAATGATGTTGTCAATTGTCTTTTGATTTGCAATTTGATTGTCCACCTGATTTAAACCCACAGCCTCATGTCCTTCCAGTGAGCTGCATACCCAGCTGTGTAATTTGGCATTTAGTATAGATTTCAGTTGGAAGTGAAGTCATTGAAAATTAGTTGAAGAATGTTTAAAAGGAGAGAAAGTACAAAAGTGTAGGTGAATGGAGTTCTGATGTATTCTGTCTCACATTGAAACCACTTAGCATTAAGCAACTAGAATTTACATCAGAAGATGTCTAAAACTAGATTGAACTTTCATGACTCATGATAGAAATGATCATGTACACTGGGTAAAACTTAGTCATTCAGTTTTATTTTATTATAAAGACTGTGTGAGAGGTGAGGTTTATATTTCCATATACATGCTGATCATGAGCCTGGAAACAGTTAATTGTCTTATACCTTCTTTCTGTTGAGCAACATTAGACTATACTTATTTAAAATCCATTTGTTTGTATATTTTATTTTTTGACAAATGATAGTTTGCTGTAAGCTAACATCTATGTTTGATGTTATAGGTTCAGTCGCCAATGTGTTGTTGACAAGGACAAAAGGAATCAATGTAGATACTGTCGATTAAGAAAGTGTTTTCGAGCAGGAATGAAAAAAGAAGGTAAAAAATAGTGATGATGATGATAGTTAACATTATTGATGAAAAATGGAATACACAAATATTCTCATTAATTACAATAATCTTTTTACTTTATTCTGATTTTCCTCAATATAGTAGTGAAGAATCTGTGAAAGAATTCTTTGAGTTAAAGTATTTAGCCCATGATACCCAGCTTGTAAGTGGTGGAGCCAGTCTTTATCTTGTGTTTGATTATCTGACTTCTGACACAATTCTCCCCAACACTATGCTATGTGGCCAACAAAATTATTGTCCAAACAGCATTTCAATATCCAGTTCAAAAGATAAATTGCAAAATCTATGAATAGATTGAATTTATAAATATATTTTAAACACATTTTTATCCTTAATAATCAAATATCTTTATTCATTTCATGAACATTAATGGAACATCTACTTTTTCATATGTTCATCCATCTAACAAATAGCTATTGAACACTATTTCCCAAACACTGTTCTAGGTGTTGAGGTTTTGGCACTAAACAAAATAGACAAAATGATCCTCCCTTTTAGAGAGTTTATATTCTATCAAGGGACAGAGACAATAGATTGATATGGTATTTATTATTATATGGTATATATTAAGTTCATTTTGAACATATTAAACAATCTGATTATATTCTGGTACATTCTGAACATGGGTATTTTAGACACAAATGTGATGAGCACATTCTGGCAGGCATAAAAGTTACAAGGGTTTATTCCTTTCGGTTTTGCTACATGCCTGTGTCTATAATAAGCCATTGTTCACAGTATAAAATGTGCTAAAAAATCAAATTGAATAAAATCAGTATACTAAAGAAGTTAAAATACATCAAATCCATTTTGAACATAGCTAGTTTTTTTTTCCTTTATCTCTCAGTATTTTAAAATTGTAAAAAAAAAAACCATTAACATTTCTCAGGTTGGTAATTTTAAAAAAAAAAAAAAAAAAAAAAAAAAGTTCATAACATTAAAGCAAAAACAATTTTTCATTTTAAAAATGACATTGTTACTGTCCTAAGAGCTCTATTGGGTAGTTTATGGGATTAATTATATACTTTGTGAATTGTCTCCCTCCATTTCTGCTTGATCCCCAAACTTTACCTCTACTAAATTGAAAACAAATAACAGTTTTATATTTCCTTTATGAATTTTAAAATTTATGAATTAACTTATTTTTTAAAATATTGGATTATCAGCCAGGTATGGTGGTGCATGTCTAGAATCCCAGTGATTCAGGAGGCTGAACCCAGAGGATTACAAGTTCAAAGTCAGCCTCAGCAACTTAGCAAGTCCCTAAGCAACTTCATGAGACCTTGTCTCACAATAAAAAATAAGAAAGACTGGGAGGGGCACAGGGATAGGAAAGATGGTGGAATGCAATGGTTATCATTACCCTAAGTACATGTATGAAGACACAAAGGATGTGATTCTACTTTGTGTACAACCAGAGGTATGAAAAATTGTGCTGTATATGTGTAATATGAATTGTAATGCATTCTGTTGTCATATATAACAAATTAAAATTAAACATAAAAAAAGAGACTGGGGATGGAGCTCATGGGTTAAACTTGATCATGTAAATGAAATTTTAAAAAACATAACAAACATCTTAATTTTTTTATTTCTACATATGTATTTCCGAATGAGTCAGTTCAGGTTGAAAATCAATAAGTCTCTGGTAAAGAAAAAAAAAACACAAAAACCCCAGTAAGCTATCAGTAAATGTGATATTAAAATAAAATATTAATAAATCACTCCAACTTAGAGACTACTTACTCTCTCATAAAGTGAAAAAGTCCAGTATTTTTTCTTCTAACGTAATGGACTTCATAATTAATAGTAAGTTTAGGGTCTGTGTTACAAGACTTTGGTGTATTTCTATAATAAAATAATAATTGCCCTAAATTTTATAGTTTAACAGTCTATCTTTCCAACAGAACAGACTAGAACATTAACCTAAACAGTTTGGTATACTAAGCTGTGTTTTTCTCTTTGCCTTCCAACTTTTAAAAGTCATCTTGACATCTGTCTTGTTTTGTTGTTTATATGAGTATTTATACAAATATATAAGCTAATTCTTCTCTTCTGGCTCTTCTTTATATTTAAAAATGTAATTTTCAGCATGGAATTTGAGAAACACATTTTTATTCCTTTCCCTTCTAAAAAAAGGCTGCATTTCTACCTCTTCTGTAGAGACTTTCATATAATTTGAAAGATTTTTTTTTCTTCAAAAAGCTGTTGTTCAAACCTTAGACTTTTCAGGAGATTCCACAGACTCATACAGCTTTTTAATTTAATTTTATATTTTTAATTAACACCTGTAAATTATCTCAATGACAGTATTTCATAAGATATCATAATATTGCAACCTTAAAATCATCTAAACTAAAATAAATTTACTTTCTATTCTGGTAGTGCTTAGGAAAAAGAAAATAGAATTTCAAAATTGATGACTCATATCTTCTGGGAGCAAATACACTCTTATTTATCTTTGACCTGGTCAATCTCATACGTGACATTCTTCCTCTAGTTAGCATATAGTTTGAGAGAATAGAAAACCAATCTATCAAAAACTTAACATGGCAAAACAGGTTAACCACACTTTATAGCATGCTTGCTGTCTTGAAGTCCCAAACAGTATTTTATGAGCTCTAGTGACAAAGACAAGCCCCTGGCTACTCCAACTTTTGAAAATGGGTACAGAATGAAAAGTTTAACTTTCTATCACCACGGTCTTTTAGAAAGACTATTTTTTTAAATTTCAAACTGTATATCATGACACATCTTAAAGGGATTTAACCAGTAATACTCTGCCTTTTCTGTCTTAGCTGTGCAAAATGAACGCGATAGAATAAGCACCAGAAGAAGCACATTCGATGGCAGCAATATCCCCTCCATAAACACACTGTCACAAGCTGAAATTCGGTCTCGCCAGGTACGCACTGCCTCCCAGTATCTAGCTTTGTGTAATAGAATGAAATGTCTATTTGCATATCAGCATAATGCTACAATAATCTATTTCATCTGAATGTGCTCATGTCTAAAGTAAATCACACCTACACAAGTCTAAGGCTTTTACTTTGTAAGCATTAGGGGGACTGCTGATTTGATTTTGACTTTTTTTTTTTTTTAACAAGACCCTATTATAAAAAGAACAAGCAAATGAATTTCAGTTTAAGATTGTTCGAGGGAAGAAAAGAGTTTGTTTATAAGGTTGATTAATAGTTCTTAATGGCCAAGTGTAGTGGCGTATGCCTGTAATCCCAGTGGCTCTGGAGGAAGAGGCAGGAAGATAGCAAGTTGAAAGCTAGCCTCAGCAAGTTATCTAGGCCCCATGCAACTTAGCAAGGCCCTGTCTCAAAATAAAACATAAAAAGGGCTGGGGATGTTGCTCAGTGGTTAAGTGCCCCTGGGTTCAATCTCTTGTACCTAAAAAAAAAAAAAAAAAGTTATTACTGCATACCACAATGTTGAGGGGGAAGAAGTATTTTATACTATTGGTTGATTCTATAAGATCAGTTGCTATAACTTCTGTGAAGCATAATGAAGACTGTCATTAGGGCCTCTTTCTCTGAAGATGATTTCTGAACTTAAGAATTGTCACCTTGACGTCTGCTATGGAAACAGGTATTTAAATGCAGACCCAGAATTCAGAAAGCACAGAGGAAACACAACTTTATTACTTTAAGTTTCTATAATATCAGGTCTAAAATTTTTAAAATAATTAGTTACATGCATAAAAATAAACCTCTTAAAGATCCAGTGAGGAAATCCTTTAAAGAAAGTTTATTTTAGCATTGCCCCTACTAGAAACATGAATAATATTTTTCTATTATAAAGTAAAAATAATATTTTTCTATTATAAAGCAAATTATGAAATAGGTAAGTAATCAGTTCTCATAAAGAGTCAGTGAGGCTACTTTCGTTTTAGATAACACAAAGGTAATATGATGAGGTTGACATTCCCATTATCATCATTATTACTTGAAGATTACTTGATGGTCCAATAAACCATTTACAGAATGGCTTAAGCAGGGGCTGTGAGGAAGTGCCGGGTACACATGAAGACACACACAGATTCAAACAAAGTTCACAAAAACTTTTAGATAGTATTTTAAATCACTTTTTAACACCACGTATTTGTATTATTCATATTATTTGCAGTTTTAAAAATGTACCATTAAATGTTAAGCTCTGCAACATAGTTGAATCAGATTTTGGTTCCCTTAGTTTTATTTTGATGGGCTTTTGTTTAATGGAGCATCACAAGTATTTCTGGTTTCTTGTTTAAATCTTTTCTTCCCAATTTGGTAAACCTTATCCACTTAATAAATGTATTCTGAGTAAAGATCAACAAATTGAAGATGGACTTCCTTAATGGAATTTTAATTTTAAGTTAAAAATAAAATCACAAAGCATATTTCATGTGGACATTACCTATCTCTTTATGCAGCTTATTGAAGTGTGAAACTCCCCCAAAATTGTGATCACTTAGTTGAAACATTTGGCTTTTAAAATAAGATACTGCTGTCAGAGTGTGGTGCTATCTATTGACTGCTTTCAGTTTTACTTGAAAACCTATATGTATTTTATTTCTCAATTAAAGAATGTTTAATACATTTCAAGATCCTGTGACAATTATATTGCCTGCTTCAGTAGTGTTTACTTCACACAGTTATGGGGAAACAGGGAAATAGTGCTATGTATTATTTTAAATGATAAGTGAATATAATGTTCTTCTTAATGCCAGATCTCAGCCTCAAGCCCTGGGGTCAGCACTGACATAAATGTTAAGAAAATTGCAAGTATTGGTGATGTCTGCGAATCTATGAAACAGCAGCTTTTAGTCTTGGTGGAATGGGCTAAATATATTCCTGCCTTCTGTGAGTTACCACTGGATGACCAGGTATAAATTGAAGACATTGTGACTGCTTTAAAACAGATTTTGAAAATTCCTTAGTTTTGTGCCCCTTGAATTCCATTTGTATCACATTTACTATATTAGGTAATGGAGAAATTACCTTGTGAGAAAAGGATTGGTCTTCTTATCTTTTCCCCTTCTTGTTCTATACAGAGGCATTACTGTTTGACTTCTGTTTTAGAGGTCTTGCAGACTTATTGATTGGATAAGAGTTGATCAAAACACGGTTCTGCCCTCTTGGAGTTTCAAGAGCTTATGTAAGGGAAAAAGACCAGCAAATAACTATCATTTTTGAGTCAAGGTATTAGAAGAGCAAATGTCCAGGGGTAAAAGGCAAATTGTGGTATCTTGGGTTTCCCTAAGATCCCACATAAAATCCCTCGGAAATACCTGGCCAGTCCTAAACAGAAACCCAACAGGATAAGTTGATGTCTTTGTGATGCTTTATGCAATTAAAATGTAAGTTTTGTCCTTTGTGCTGTTAATTTTCTTCTAGCATTTATTATATAAAAATTACAGTTGTGGAAAAAAGTCTACAGATTCATGATCTGAAATCTAGAGAAATTATAAAAATTAGACACAGTCATCTTTTCCTGATACATGCATTGTTATATTTTATATATGTTGAGATATTTTAATAAATTAAGAGCTTGGATTTCCTAATTAGTCTATGAAGTTTAGTTTGTTTCAGATTCATTTTGAATTCTTTGTACTAAGTAGGATATATTTTTTCAATAGATGAAAATCATTTGAAAGTTTCCTTTCTTATCACATTGAGAAAAACAATCATGTTAAGTGTTATACCCAGTTATATTTATACACCTTTTGACCAGTGTTCTTTATCTTTGATACATAAAAACAAAGAAATAATAAAGGGGAGGGGAATTATTGTGTAAAAACCATGCAAAATATTTACACAGAGAACAAAAATTATCCTACAAAGTGAGATGTTATATTTCTAAAAGAACATTTCACCTGGTTACAAAGAAAAAAAAATACTGTGAAATCTGAAATAATTCTTAAAATGTTCCATAACTGCTTTCCTGGAATGAGTCACTGTTATTGACATATCATAAAGATAGCTTGACTGAGAAAGTTATGCCAGAATGAATAATACTAAATTGCTAAAACCTACTAATCTCACCCCAAGCAATATAAGTAAGGTTACGTTATTTATCAGCTTTATACTTTTATGACCATTCTTGTTTAAAAGTTGCTGACTTTTGCATGAAGACAATGATTTAAATACTGGGAAATTGAAATCCAGTAACCAGTCAAAATGGGTTTTGTTTGCTAACTAACACTTAATATTAACAGTATAAATTAATAGCCATGGTTTAGTGAATGTGTATTGTGGTGTGGTTAAGGTTCTGTGGAATTAGCTTTAAGATACATTATCAATCACATTATTTCATTTAATTCTCTCGGGAGTTCTGTGGTATAAGGTGTTATCTCCACAGTTTCTGAAACTGAACCCTAGATTTGTTAAGTTCATTCCTTAAATTTATCCAATGAATATTTATTAGGAGACTCCTGTGCAGTTTTAGGCGCTATGGGTAATATGCCAGGAAAATACAGACTGTCTTACTAGTCTCATAAAGTTTGTTTTTTATTTGGGAGAGACAGACAATAAAAAATAAACAAATTATGAGTAAGTTAATTCTAGGTGGGGAAAAGTTCTATAAAATGCTATAAAATGACATAGAATGAGTTGTTAGAAAATGACTGGGGATGAAAAGAGATACTTTATAGTGAGGATCCGAGAAGATATTTCCTGAGAGCTGATTCACAAGGGGTCAGGCACATTGAGATCCAAGCAGAAAGCATACTGGGTCCTGGAACAAGCATGTGCAAGGGTTGTGAGTCAGGCAGGAGCAATGTGAACAAGGAGTGTTTCAAGATAAAGTCAGAGACTCAGAGATGTGGAGATCAGAGGCAGAACATGGAACCTCCCCTCTTTCTTCCATCACCTAGGAAGCCATGATTGGGGAGTTTGGATTGTATCCTAAGAACAATAAGAAACCATTAAAGAGTCTTCAGCAGAGGGATGATATTAAGAGGTTACTATTCTAAAAGTATCCCTTTGAAGAATGATGTAGAAGGATGTATAATGGAGAACCCAGAAGGAAAGCAAAAATACCTATTGAGTGTAGGGGGATGGTCCAGGCCACAAATGACAAGATCCTGGACTCCTGAAAACAGTGGATGGACTTGGCTTTTATTTTGAGAAGCAGCACTAAGATTTTCTGTATAGTTAGACTCCTTTTTGGATGTAAACAAACATTTTGCACTAAGGTGATTAAAACATCAGAGAAGCCTGACGTTGTAGGCATTGCATTTGAAATGCTTCCTATTCTTCCTTGTGGTGGTGCCCACACCTGCAGCTGAGTATAGGAATAAAGCTCATTGTAGAACTCAATGCACAGAATCAGAAGCTCAACCTGGAAGGTGGCAGTATCCAGGTCTCTCTCTTTTTTTCACTACAAGTCCTTGCTTTGCTTTTGTTTATTTAGTTTATTTTGTGCAGGAAATTATGTTTTACATAAATTTTATACCTTAGTCGTTATGAGCAAACTCTGAGATGTTTTATCTCCACCTCCACTTTACAGATGAAATCAGTTGAGTCCCAAACATATAGGTTGACCTAACCAAAGTTAAAGGGTCCTAAGTGGTCAAGCTGAGATCTGAGCTCTAGCCTGATTCTGTTTCCCTCCAAAACAGTGAACTGATCTGCTTTTCTTCTCATGCCATTGTGTCACTTGTTAGGTACTTTTAGAAATTTCGAAAATACTTTCTATTGACATACTAGGGTAGAAAACTAGAAGGATTACTGATAGCAAGTGCCTATGAATATTATAGTTTATTAGAACAAAATGAAAAAAAGACCCATGCTTAAAGAACATTGAAACTTAATCAGACTCATATTATGCCATCTTTTAATCATTATATTTTATAATTAATTGTTAAAATTGGAATTTTTCATTAAGGTGGCCCTGTTGAGAGCTCACGCAGGGGAGCACTTACTGCTTGGAGCTACGAAAAGATCCATGATGTATAAAGATATTTTGCTTTTGGGTAAGTGTATATATACATTTTTTTTTTAATTTAAGAAGAAATCATTTCTTTTATTTCATCCTTCAGATAATATGCAGGATCTATTCTATATGTCCCAAGCATTCACAGACACTGTCAATGGTACTCTTGCTTCACAGGTTGGACTTAATTGATTATGTCCTCACTCAGCTTTATACTTTCTTGCCTTGATTGTGTGTAAGTTCAGAGAACAGTGAAATGATCAGGGACCATTAACATTTAAAAATGAAATGGAGATGTTGCTCAATAAATATAGTATTGAGGTGTGTTAAGTCTCAGCAGAGCAAAGAATTAGTGATTTAAATGACTACCTGTGGAGTTCCAGTGTATTTTCACACTCTTTCATTGTTTGCTTAATAACTATTTTATACTCTAATGTGATTAACCACTAGGACCTCATTGCCCCTAATATACTCTAAAATGATCAGGGAAAAAGGTTTGATGTAATGTTTGAAGAATTCTTATAAAAGTGATAGGAAAAGCAAAATAGGATGGCAGGTGAAGATGAAAGACTCAGATGGAAATATTTGTTTTCATTAATTGTTCCAATACTCCACCTTTACCTAACTCATAAAATAGATTTTTTTTTTATGACAGCATCATGTTTATACATAGTATCTGGGTTCCTTTTGACATAAATGTATACATACAAGAAATTTTATTTCAATACCCATGCCTCCTTCCTCTCCTCCTCCCTTTCGCTTTTCTGTCTTCTTATCTTCTTTTCAGTTCTTTCTTTCTTTATTTTTGATTGGTATGTTCTCCATATACATAAAGGACATATTCTCTTTGGTGCATTTATATATGTATATAACATGATTCTGTTAGATTCGTTCCATTAATTAGATTTTGAGTGTTGAGATCCTTCTAATGTTTGTTAGATTTACCTCTGCATGCTTTGTGCAAAATGAGAATTTGAGTAGTTTGTTTATTTAGTACTGGGATTGAACCCAGGGGCTTTACCACAGGGCTACATTCCCAGCTGTTTTTTATTTTGAGACAGGGTCTTACTAAATTCCTGAGGCTGGCCTTCAATTTGCAATCCTTCTGCATTGGCCTCCTCAGTTGTTGGGTTTTCTGGTTTGTGCTCCCTCACTGGGCAGATGAGTTAATTTTTCTGTGATAGATGAATGGAACACAATGTAACAATAGCTAAGTTTTAGTGAGGGCTCATTACATAAATGCTCTGCTCTAAGTTCTTTACATATACATACATGCTCTCATTTAATCATTTAAATAAGTACTCTTCTGTTCAGTCCAATTTGCTGATGAGAAAACAGAGGCAGATTATGTTTATCTAAGAGCATAAAGGTAGGAGAGAGCCAGAATTCTAAACCATATCACATGACTGCAGACTATGCCCTGAAATTCTGTTAAACACTTCTGCATTCCTAATAAGCATCTCAAATAGTGTTCTCCCTATAGATCTGAATGCAATATCCCCTAGAAAACAGCGTCTGTTATATAATTCTAAATCATTTTACACTTAATAGTTAACTTTTTGTAAGAAAGGGTTAAGATTCCCACAGAAAAGGGTAATTATGTGAGAGGATGGATATATTAGCTTAATTATAATAATCATTTCCCAATGTATATGGATACCCAAATACAAAATTACAGTATACTTTAAATATATACAATGTTTTTGTCTCTCATACCTCAATAAAGCTGGGTGGAAAAACAGAGTGAGGCTACATTGAATGAATACTTTGGACATATTGTTACCCTGAAGATCCTTGTTAGTCAACTTCCTATTACTATGATCTGAGATAATCAGCTTAAAAGGTTTATTTTGTTTCACATATTTGTGGAGTTTTCAGTCAATCGGTCCCGTCACTTTGGGTATTTGGTGAGGCAGAGCATCGTGGTGTGGAGTGTATACCACAGAAGAGATGCACCATACCAAAATGTAACAGTTGTCTTAGACTACAGTGGAAGAATTTGGAATATTATGCTTTTTATAAAAACAGAAAATAATAATTTAGCTTTCTTTCAGAAACCAGCACATTCATCATATTATAGCCAGAGAATTTCTAAGTTAGAAAGATCTTGAGGTGGTTGGGTGATTCAGTTCTCTAGCCAATTGATGAACTCAACTTTAAGTCCAGCTCCTTACAGTGGTCATCTCACCTCTATTTAAAGAAACTCAGAAGAGGGAATGTACCATCCATGGAGGGAACTCATGAGAATACACCTGCTCATTCTGAAAAATCAACTTCCTTTATTCAGACGTCTTAAAACTGTCTCAATAGTTCTTATTCCTTCCTAGGCCTGGGGCACCAAAGGAGTGCTGTTTTTAATCCACTGTAAGCAAGGAAGATTCTTTAGGATTTGTATTATGTTCATTAATGAGTAAGACACTAATAGGTGACTGACAAAGAGGAGAGCTAATCATTATATTTTGATTTTCCCCTGTCAATTATTAGCTTGTATTCGTCTGTACTTTTGTGCTATCACCAGCCAGTGAGGTTGTTAAAATGCATGTGATCCCATTATCATTGTTATTGATCCTTTAAGTACTCACAAGGTCGAACATCACTAAACACTACTGAGAGATGAAGCCCTAACGACTCCTTCTAAACCTTGGTTTGTAAAACCTTAAATATCTGACAATTTGGGTGAGGAGGTAGTTCCTTTTTCTTTTTCTCCTAGGCAACAACTACGTCATTCACCGAAACAGCTGTGAAGTCGAGATCAGCCGTGTGGCCAATCGGGTCCTCGATGAGCTTGTCCGACCATTTCAGGAAATCCAGATTGATGACAATGAGTATGCTTGCTTGAAGGCAATTGTGTTTTTTGACCCAGGTTTGTTTTCAAAATCCCCTTAAAAATAAAATAATGACAATTAAACTAGTTTTTCGTATTAGAATAGCTCCTCTCATACGCTAGCTTGATTCAATCTTCAAATTGTGCCTTTTGTCTCTTTCTTAGATGCAAAAGGACTAAGTGACCCAGTAAAAATTAAGAACATGCGGTTCCAAGTGCAGATCAGTCTAGAGGACTACATCAACGACAGGCAGTATGACTCCCGGGGCAGGTTTGGGGAGCTGCTCTTGCTCCTGCCCACGCTGCAGAGCATCACGTGGCAAATGATCGAGCAAATACAGTTTGTGAAGCTTTTTGGAATGGTTAAAATTGACAACCTGCTTCAGGAAATGCTACTGGGTGGTGAGTACATTTAAGAATTTCTATTATATTGATTCAAATCACACTAAGTAGCTTAGAGCATGTTTGCCCGATTTATTTACTTTTTGTCCACATTTATTTCATCTTTTCAAGTTGCCTTATGTTCCTCCTGATTTTTATCTTCTTCTGCCATGACATAATAAATTCAATTTGTTACATTTAGAAAGTCTGCAAAAACCCTTTAGAGTGGGATAAAAATACTGGAAAAGATTCAAATCCCCATCCTTACCAGAATTCACCATCTTTCCTCCATAGTCCCTTTTACTTCAATTTTCAAATCTTTCCATATAAGGAAAATAGAAATGCATTAACTATTTTTAGGACCTCTTGAGGAGTGTGTGGTGTGTGTGTGTGTATCTCCTAATTCCTTTAAGTCTTAAAGAATATATGTATTGTTAAAATAGCCTAAACACACACACACACACACACACACACACACACACATACTAAATAGCTTAAAATGAACATTTTTGCTCCTGGGTTTTGACACAAAATTGTAGAAGAAGAAAATGATATTTTAATGCTGCAAATAAAATGTGAGGAATAAGTTAAGAAATAATTTAAAGTTTGATATAGATTAAATGTCCTTATAAAATCACTATTTGTGTTTTAACTTTTCTGGTGCTTAATATCTTTCTGAAATAAAGGTTGATTATTGTATTAGGGTGGTCCCAAATACCATAAACTTGAGGTAAGTGATTCTTGGAATTGTTTTAATAATACGCAGTAAACCTAATGATTCCAGGAAATGGCACAAAAGGTCCATTATTAATAAACAACATTATGCTACAACATTCATCTAGCCAATGTGCAGTGAAAGCTGATATTGTCTTTACTATGATAGTGGTTCTATCAATTTACATTTGAATTCTCAAAAAGCACTTGGCAAAAAACAGCAATATTTAAGCTGTCAAATATTTGTGCCAAGATAAACCTGCCATTCTCCATAAATATCACTAATGCAAGCATCTATCTTTATCTTCTTTAGGTGCTTCCAATGATGGAAACCATCTTCATCATCCAATGCACCCACATTTGTCTCAAGATCCATTAACTGGACAAACTATACTTTTAGGTCCCATGTCAACATTGGTTCATACGGACCAGATCTGTAAGTATCTGAGCTACTTTTCTACCACAACATTCTGAAACTTAATTATTTGAGAAATAGTTGAATTTGGGTAAGTCTCCAATAATACCCATAAATTGAAAAAATAAATAAATAAAAAAATATAAAGTGGGTACAATTTTTTCTCCAGGACTAAATTGTGGGAAATTGTTATATTCACTTAGTTATTTATTCTCTCTAGATAATATTTTTTTTTTCATACAAAAAAAATGTGAACTTCATGGGTTTTAGGAACACAAAAGAACAGACAGGTAGTCCTAGCTCTGCATGATGGTGCAGGACCATAAAAGGACCATATAACTTGCAATCACCCAAAGGAATCCTAATAATCAGTGGAAAAATTGTGTTGCTTATGATCTTTAAAAATGTCAAAACATTAAGAACTCACTTACCTATAGTTTATAAATGTGTAGATAAATTGAATAATCTTTTTTATTCTAAAACATTAGAAACATTGAGAAATAGTTTTTTATTTCTTTGTGAATAGTGAAGATTAGTTTGCACAGTGCTTTCTGCCCTTTTTTTTTTTAATATAATTTACAATTTGGAAGTGTAAATGTTCTCTGTGTCCTGATGAATTTTACTCCTTTGGAAGTTTGGATCATTTTTCCAACATTTGATCCTTTGTATGTTTAATTTCCTGAAATATCTCTGAGAACTTATTTGGTGCGAAGGTTTTTGCTGATTTGACTTTCTTTGCGACAATGTCGTTCCTTTCGTCACATTGATTTTCCTCATCAGTTTTTCTTCCATCACTTCCTGGCTGAATATTGAGAGGCTCAGACAATGGCTGTGTCCCTGTTCCCATGTTCAGCTATGTTGGATTTGAATTTCACTTCCTGCATTTCGTTTCTTTGCTTTCATCTTAACTGGCCAATTCTCTTTCAGTTATCCATTTTTTTTTTCGTAAAATGTTACATGAATTTATCATGGGGAGGCAAGGAACCAATGGAACTTTAAACTTTGTTGCCAGTGTGTGGACTGAAGAAAAGATGTTCAGTGATCAATCAGACAGATGTAATCAGTAACTGATTACAAAACACATCTGTCATTTATGCAGGCATTTGTAGATGGAAGAGTTAGTAGTGAAGTTTTATATTTATGCATTACAGTTAACGTGAGTTACCATGGGAATTGAAATTTGAACAGTGTTGTTACAAGAGTGGTGCACTTTAAGCCATGATAATTGTAGTTTTTGTGTAGCAGAGTTGTGCAAAGTAAGAACTGCTTCTCTTTGGAACTCAAATGACTATGTAAATATTAGAAGTTGTTAGTAGTTAAGTTAACTGGATATTGTTGGAGCTTTAATGCAGAGTCCAGTTTTCTAAGCTACTCTGGCGATAAACATTTTTTTGATAAAGATATCTAAAACTGATTGCTTCTGAATTTATACTGGTGAATTCAAGATTTACCTTGGATTCATTGCCTTTGAGTGCCAAACCAGCTGTCTCACTGAGGTGACTTGAGTTATTGTGATATAATTATTATTAACAGTTGCATTGCCTAGTGAATTTACAATAGTCTTTAATAACCAGTTGCAATGTGTTTTAGCCAAGTGCTACATGTAATGTAATAACAATTTTGGGAGTTCCACTTGATTGCTAGCTAGTAGCAGGGGAAGATGAGACTACAGAACGGCATGCTGTCCTTTAGATATAAATAATGGTAGAGCTTGGGCAAATTGTATCCAAAACAATTTTTTTTTGACTTCATGAGAAATGGAATTGTTTGGAAAAAATACAAATTCTGGAAACAATATGGCATACTTATTGCGTCGGTCCCAATGTATTTGAAAGAGATTGGTTTAGGACCATCCTTGCAAAATATTTAATAAATTAATAAGAGGAAGGAGAGAAGAAGAGAGCTCAATGCCAGAAAGTCTAGGCAATCATTTCTCTCACAAATCACAAATATTCATAAACTCCAGAGTAAAACATAGTAACAACACATCAAGCATCGTTGGCAAGGCAGTTTGAGAAGCCTATTGGAGTAGAATCTTTTACCTTTTAAATGCTAATGTTCTAGTATTTTTAAAACATATTTGCTGTTCCTTATATTTTAAGAATCTCATCATCACAATTTTAATTTCCCCTCTTTCAGCATAATATTTATGAGAATCACTTGTAAAGTTAAACTTGACTTTGCTTTTAAAAAATGATGTATAACTTTTGCAAAGCCAAAACTCATTCAACAATTTAAGTTCATGCATTTTTTTTGGGGGGGGGGGACTTTCAGAGAGGGCCACTGCAATTTTAAATCCATTCTAAATATCCAGAAATAATTTGAAAGAAAATTTTGGATATTCTTTTTGTCAATCAAACTACATATATAAATGTTATTTATAAGTAATTATTAATCTATATTAACAATAAAATAAAATTAATGTATTAATGACTGGTAAAGGGGACTTTTCTTGTTTTTATGTAGAGTTTTTAAAAACTGAGGGGAAAAAATAAAACTCTATAAAGTTTACAGTGCCACAGGCTGACCAAACATATCCAAGCCATTAGTTTTGTTAAACATATGAAATAATAACTGTGAGTAATAAAATAGTTCAAGTTTTGTTTTTTTTTAATTCCAGAATAGCTTCTGGATTGTTTTATATGGTAAAATTTCCAATAGGGAGAATTAACTATTCTAGACAGTGAAGTATTCAAATTACAACTTTTTATATTCAGTTCAATTTCTTTTATATTTAATTACTCATGCTTACTCTTTGCATTGAAGGGGAAGGGACCAGCAAGCTCAACTGTAATAGAATAATTGTGAGGCATCAGAGCCAGTGTGTTTCAGATGCTTCTGATTATAGCTTAGATTTCAGAACACTTATAAAGTATCTTAATTCTAATTTTTTATGCCATCTAATATATCTGAATTAGTAGAATCCAAACCAAATATATTTTAATTTTATGTGCATTTTGATTGCAAATATTATGAAGATTGCTTACTAATATTTGAAAAAACTAACATTCTGTTAATTTTTGTCATTGACTTCTTTCTACTGCATTTGTTAGGAAATTATGCTCATGAATGCTTTTAGGAAAGGAATACCAAAAAGTGACTATGAAGATTTTTGTGTGTGTGTGCATGATCTTTTGCTATTTAATGCTATTTGGGGAGGAAGCTGAGATTGCTTTTCCCCTAGTATGCCTATACACTGAAAATGCATTATACAAATCAGTACTTTACATATGATCTTTTAAAAAATGTTTCCAAAATATAATAATGCATGTTGGCATTGTGTAGGGCTAATGGGGGTGGAGCGGATTAGTGCTACCATCACAGATAATTCTATGATTCTTTTTCAGCAACTCCTGAAACCCCACTACCTTCACCACCACAAGGCTCTGGACAAGAACAGTACAAAATAGCTTCAAATCAAGCTTCAGTCATTTCACACCAGCCCCTCTCCAAACAAAAGCAATTGTGAGAATGTGTTTACTTCTGAATAGCACTGCACAAATGTGAAAGGCTTTTGGTCTTGAAATATCTCAGGATATAACTTTTGGCAAACTCTTAGCCAAGGCTTCTTCATGGTGCTGTTATAAAATGGTGTCCTGTTTTCTTGTTTATATGCTCATTTTGTTTGTCTTTGCTATGGTGTAAAACTTTCATATGCAACCAATGTACATTTGAGTTGGAATTTGTTTATATAGTCTCCAACTGCCCCTGCACTGTGCCTGAACTGGTTAAATCTTATGTACTACTTTCATTTGTTTTCATAATATTAATTTAAATCTGTAAATAATTGCTTTGCTGTGATGTGATGCAGAACTAAGTGTTCTTTTTGGCTAAGAACAGATCAGAAATCCAAGGTTAATATGAAATGAACCAGGTTTTTTTTTTTTTTTTTTTATAAATTATAAACTTGCAGATTAGAAAAATAAAGCAGTGACTATAGAGTAGAGGACATTTCTTTGAAGAAGAATCACTACTTATGGGCATTCTGTGGCCAACAAGCATGTCTTTGGTTCACGGTTCTGAAGTTCAGAATATTATAAAAAGCCATTCTAAGAATAACTGTATACTCTTTGAAATCTGTGTTTGAAGATGTAGTCTAAGATATCAGTTAGAATGTAAGCTAAACTGTAACAAAGATGCCCCTAAAACAATGTTTAAACCAAGAGAGACATTTATTTCTCTCTCCTCAAACAGTCTAGCAATAGTCATCCATTGACTAGAAATTAGCACAAACCTGCACCCAGGGAGGCCAGGGGAATCATCTTTGTGTAGGAAGCCTGTTCCAGCTAATGCTGGATATCTCTGGGAGAACTGAACTGGGGATAAATTCTCATGGTAAGTCTGTAAGAGAGGTATTACCATTTCTTTTAAAAATAAAGAAGCTTGAGGGTTCAAGGAATATAACCATAGTTCATAAAACCAAAGAATAAGAGATCTACAGTCAAACCCAGCTCTAGTTGACTTTAGTGAGAATATATACATATGCACGAAGAAATGGTTTCTTATAGCGTGGTATTTAAATACACACAGCAGAGTTAGGATTGACTACCAGCGATGAGTGTGAAATTGTTGTAACTGAATGAGAAATCATTTGTGTTCTTTTAATGAGAGCTTTTCTTCTAAAGTGTTGAAGGAAATTCACAAACAGATAGATTTTGATGAGAGCAAAAACAAATTGGAATTGCCGACTTAGCAGATTTTCAAAAATTCAGCAGCTCAGGAATATACTGAATGTTTAATTCTAGACTGAGGAATACAGCCCTGAAAAATTGGTATCAACAGCACAAGTTTATTTAAAAATGGTTAAGAATGGGCTCATGAAACATCGACTCCTCTCTCTTCCTGTCTCTCACTACTTGCTTGCTGAAGCAGGGAAAACTGGTTGAGTGATTATCAACTATGTATACAAAGAAATAAAAGAAAGAGTATTCCAAACTGTAAGATATTTAATCAAATGCTTTGTTTTGTTTAGTTCAGGGCACTTCAACATTTTTAAGATTATGATTTCATAACTATCACTTACCCTACAAAGAAAAAGGTTGTATTAATGTTAACTAACTCATTGGCTCTTAAAGGAAAGTTGAACTCTTTGAATGAAAAAATTGATATGTAAAACCTATCAATGATTTAATAGAACCAATAATATTTCATCAAGAGCTGCTACCCTTGTAAAATTGTAAAATATATCATTGAGTGAGAGAGGGAAAAGGAAGAGAAGAGAGAGAGAAAAATCTTTTAACTGTAATTTTTTGAAAATTTAATCAAGTGTATGAATAGGAATTTTTCATGAATAGGAATTTTTATTTTCTATTTATAAAATACAAACATATTTTTGGTTTTGTTTACTTTTTATTTCATTTTATTATTATTATTGTTTTGTTGTACCAGGTATTGAACCCAGGCAGGGGCGCTTAATTACTGAGCCTCATCCCAGCCTTTTTTATTTTGGACAGGGTCTTGCTAAATTGCTTAGGGTCTCCATAAATTGATGAGGCTGGCTTTGAATTCATCCTGCCTCAGCCTCCTGAGGCTCTAAGATTACAGGCCTGCTCCACTGAGCCCAGCTTTTTTTTTTTTTTTTTTGGTGATATTTAAACATTTTTACTCCAGCTAGTCTGCTATAACAAAATACCATAAACTGGGCAGCTTAAAAGCAACAGAAACTTATTTCCCACATTTCTCAACCTTGGGAAGTTAAGATCATGGCACTAATTCATAGAGGGTGCACTTTCTTGCTTGTTCTCACAAGAGGAAGGGGGAGGGAACTTTCTGGGGCCTCTTTTATAAGGGCACTAATAACATTCATGAAGGTTCCACCCTTGAAGCCTACCACTTCCCAGTGTCCTCACCCCTAATAATCACATTGACGTGGTATTAGCATTTACATTTCCGGTTTCTGGGGGGGACACATTCATTCAGACCATAACAAACACCCTTAAGATGTAAAATTAAAATTTGTTGCAGTGAGGCTCTAATTTCTCCACAAACAGAAAACATGTCTGCCTTAGGAATTATTACTAATGATTTTTGTTTTAATAACTACAGTCAGGGAAATTGTAATATATTTTTATATACTGTACTGCCAAAAATGCTGGAAAAAAAGGAACTAATGTTTTCAGCATATTTTAAAAATATAGATGAGGAAATTTATTGCTTTTATATAAAACAGTTTTTTAGGTAATAGAAATGAATAATTTATTGTGAAATAACAATTCATTTTATAAATATAAAATTATTTTTATAAATTTCATTGTTGAAAATCAAAAATAAGTAGATTTTTTTAAATGTTAAATTATCATGAAATTAAAGTATTTCTAAACTATGATACTTTGTTTGAACTTTCTAAATAAAAACTGAGAAAAAATAATTGAAATGGAGTGTTTCAATTAATTATCAAAAGTGTTTTCTTAATTTTAGATACTGATAATATCTTTTATGTGGTCATTTAATTTAATTGATATGGAGTCTAACACTAGTTGCTAGAGGTTGAGGAAAAAATTAAAATTAGCACATCTTTAAATAATTGCAGAATTGGATGACAATAGAAGGGACAGTTCTCACATTTATGCTTTTATTGTGTAGTTTTGCTTGCCTTTTGGTTTTGTCACAGTAACTGAAATATACCACCTAAGTTGATTTAATCTCTGTATATGGATCCTTTGGCACACAAATTGTGAACCTAGATATTTTAATTGCTGGTACCTTCTGTTCATATTTAAAATTTCCATGAAATTTCTACATCATGAGGACTGGCAAATTTTATTTTTATAGTTTTCTACTATTTTATTTTATTTTTACTATTATCAGGTATATGCATGTATCATATAAAAGACAAATGGCATTTAACATTTATAATGTAAGCTTGTAACCCTCTTTCCTGGGACCCCTCTTTTTACCATGTTCTGTTTTGCCATAATAGCATTCAAATACTGGAGCTGTTTTGTCTGGTATTTTTTTCTTCATAATTTAAAAACATGTTTATATCACACTTTTTTATCTTTTTAAGTTTCAGACCTTACCTGTTAACTTTCTACAATGAAAGAACCCACCCACATCTTTTCACTTCTTTTTTCTGTCTTTGGTGCTGGGAATTGCCTTTTGTATACCAGGCAAGCGCTCTACCACAGAGCTATGCCCCAGCTTCAATATTTTTAAAAATACATATTTTAATTTACATTAGAAGTTACTATTTAAATTATTTCAAACCATCTTTTAAAATACTAAAAAACAGTTTTAATATCTCTTTTAATAGAGTATAGGAGATACATTCTAATTTCATAGAGTGAGAGGAGAAGGAACAGTCCTCGCTGAGTCAGAAGAACATAAATTAAAGACAACACATTGAGTGTATTAATACTGTCATTGAATGCAATTTGACTACCATTTCAACATACTAATCTCAGAGTCTAATTTTGAGGAAACCCAACCTGAAACAAAATAGATTATTCATTTGTATTTGTATATCATTAAAAATAGGTCAAAAATGCAGTTCATCAAAATAAGAATTTTGTGTCATCAAAAAATCAAATTAGTAAAAATCAGCATTATGAAGTATAGATTACACTGCCATCAGAATTCAAATTTATAAAGAACACAATGAGAAATATTTAGGCCAAAATGCTGAAAAACTATGAAACGGTCCTGATTATAATTCATTTCCAGGAAAACTACAGTATCAAGGATAGATGAAGGAGGGAAAAACAAAAAAAAAAGGGGGGGCGAGAAATGAATTACAGTAGATGGGGTAGAGAGAGAAGATGGGAGGGGAGGGGAGGGGGGATAGTAGAGGATAGGAAAGGCAGCAGAATACAACAGACACTAGTATAGTAATATGTAAATCAATGGATGTGTAACCGATGTGATGCTGCAATCTGTATATGGGGTAAAAATGGGAGTTCATAACCCACTTGAATCAAAGTGTGAAATATGATATGTCAAGAACTATGTAATGTTTTGAACAACCAACAATAAAAATTAAAGGAAAAAAAAGAGATCCTAGAAATCAGTAAGAAAGAATCCATAAATATAAAATAATATAGAATGACAAGCAAAGAATATGAAATTCAACTCACAAGAAAATCCCATAAATATTCCTTAAACACATGAAAAGTTTTTCAATTTTCAATTTCAGCTCATTGATATTAAGAAAAATGAACAGTTTTCAGGGTGTAATTCAGTGGTACACCATGTGCTTACCAGTCTTCAACATCAAAAAAAGAAAGAAAAAATTGAATATTGTAACTACCCCCAAAGAACTATTTTTAGCTATCTGGTAAAAATCCCAAAAATTTGACATAGTTTTAGAGAAATAGTCACTAGCACAAGATCTAGAGAAAATATGATTCCTATGTAGGAGAATTTAGCAATGTATGTTAGACACCCATACATTTTAATTTGTCAGTTTTGTTTCTGAGAATGTACCCATGGATTCCACCGATTTTACATTCTACATTCTCTGTGTATTTTATTATATGCAAAAAGATTTTCAGGACTTTTATTTTTTTAATTTTTATTTTTTGTGGTAATGAGAATTGAACCCAGGGGTGCTTTACCACTGAGCTACACCACAGTCCCTCTTATGTTTTGAGACAGGGTCTTGTTATGGCCCCTAGCCTGGCCCTGAATTTTCTATCCTCCTGCTCAGTCACCCAAGTAGCTGAAATTACAGACATCCACCAGCTGACATGGCTAGGACTAATATTTAACTGATTCACATGTGATCCAACTCGTTAGTTCACGTCCTGTATTCATCCTAAAACACTGACGTTCATGCTGTACTTAAATTGGAAATTTTAAAATATTATTCCTTTACATATGGAGAAGACTACTTTTAGCAGAAAAGTATTGAAGATAGTCCAAATAGCAATAATAGTATACTTGTTAAATAAATTATGGTGATTATTAAAATAAAAGAATATGCTGCTCTACAAAAAAAAATAAATAAAACTTACTCAAAATTTTATGGGGAATAATGAAGATCCATAAAAAGCTAAACCAGTCATGACAAAGGAGAGTAAAATTGTATACTCATAACCAAAAATAAGAACTTTGATTCATACTTCATACCATATACAAAAATTAATTAAAAATTGACTTACATGCAAAACTAAGACTATAGGGCTGGAGATGTAGCTCAGTAGTACAGCAAGTGAGGACCTTGGTTCCTTAAAAATTTTATTCTTCCACCTCCAGTGATTCTTCAACTCTGCATTACTATCTGCTCTTTGCCTGTGCCCTTGGCACAGCATCCTGTAGCCCTGCAGTTACCTTCACCTTTCCTTGATCTTTCTGTGATATACAGATGAATATGTATAACTTGTAGGATGTGT